AGCAGGGAGCCCGATGCGGGGCTCGATCCCAGGACCCTGAGATCATGACCTGAGCCGAAGGCAGTCGCTTAACCAACTGAGCCACCCAGATGCCCCTATATATCACTACTTTTCAAAGGCAGTGTGATCTTCATGCCCAGGGCACTGGGCTCGATGGGGGGAAACATTCTTGTTCTTCTAGAGGCCCACAAATGGTTGTGATTTCATAATATCAGTTCATGCATCAGGTCCTGTCCAGCCTCTCTTAGTAGTAGCAAGCTCATTATAGAGAGGGGCCCATTGACTAGGCCAAACCCCTACTGACAAGTTAATTTCCAGTTGATTGCCAGTGCCCCTAATTAGCAACTCCAACAGAACAACTAGTTTTTTAAATATCATTTCAGAAAATGCATGAAATGCTGACAACATTGAGCAGTTTGTTGTTCTTTATGGCCACTTAGATGGAAAGTGTTTCGTGGAGGAAACTGTGGCTTGGCCAAGAAATGTGATTATTTTGTATGTATCCTTCCTCACCAGTAGTGTACCTCTTATTTATTACAGGATTTCTTCAAGCAAGAATTCACTCTCATTAGCAAACTCATTGAAACTGTTCAAAATAAGCCACTTTTCTCTTACTATTCCAAACGAAGACGTCAGTCACAAATTTAAGATGCTGGAGTAGTTTTGCACTACAGGTGCCCACCCTCCCCCCCACAGGCAGGGGGCTGCATGGTTCTGGGTGATTCTCCCATCTCAGGGGCCCCATCCCTGCTGTGTGGATTCCTCTAGCAAAGCACCACAAGACAGGAGCCCGCTTTTATTTGGTGTTAGAGATATGATCCATTTTGAATGATTTACATCGGATGGCTATTCTGGTTCAAGCCAGAGAATGGATGTTAAATAACAGAAGTGTTCATAACTGCCTTGTGGAAAAACACTGCTGTGAACTCCACCATAAACCTTACTCAGCAGCGTATTAACAAACAGTTGTAATGAAAATGTTGGAAATAAAACATGTGTAAGTAGTTCTTATTATTAAATCAGTTTCTCCCAGTGCTTGTGCAAGGCATTCGTTGTTAGGAAGCCACAATAAGTCCTTCTGGAACACCATCAAAATGCTGTGATTAAAAAAAAGAAACAGAAACGAACACAAAAATTGTTGTCTATGCATACAATTATTAAAAACAGGACAGTGATCAGTATTTTCTCCTAGTACTCTTGAGAATGTTATTGTTGTTCCTACCAAATGTAGATCTTTTCAGTAGTGAGTTGAGAATCTTCCATCAGAACTAAGAAAATAAGTCTAGTGTTTTAAAGAAAAAAAGCAAAAGATTCCTCTAATTAAAAGTAAGCCTCTTGTTTTGGTGAGTTAGGCCAGGAGGAAAGACCAAGCAGCATTATAAAACCTCTGAATATCATCTAGAACTAATGATATAATGTATGGGGATTAACATAAGAATAAAAAAAAAAAAAAAAACCTCTGAATAGTGTGCAGATGGTGGAGAGGGTGTGGCTATAATTCTTATTCTGAGAGTAGGAACTTTCTTCCTTCCTTCCATCCCTTTTCACCTAAACCAACCATAGATCAACTTGAGAGCATTTGAAGATCCATTTCTTAAGTTCTTCCTTTTCAGGGTAAACATGCCAAAATATTGTCCCAAATTTCTCCCAAAATATTTAATCATGTTTATCCTCCTCTGGACCTTCAACAGTTTTTTCATAAACTTTACAATTTGGGGACTTAAATAGGTCCAAAAATTTTAAAAGTAAGCCCCTGGCAACACCCAATGGTGAAGAACAGCCATCCTGAGATGCTCATAGGGAGGCTTTGCTGATCTGGTCCTATCCAAGCAAGTTGGATATTGTTTTTGTCATCAAAGCAAGGCTTCCAAAGTAAAGGGCAGCACTGGTGTTTCCATCTCTGACCATGCCTTAGATTTACGATCTAAATGCAAAATAAATTATATCTGTCAAAACACTGACCTGATGATCTAGCTTGAAAAAATACAAAGTACCTAGCAAAGCAAGAAAACACAGTGCCTAGCATAGTGAGCTGGCATTTTAATGAAATATTTGTGGGTGTTTTGGCCCATTAGGAAAAAAATTAACATAATATCCTTCATAATTAATATTATCAGGACAACTGGCCCAGAAATTACAAAAGAGTAAAGAAACAGTGTATAAATGTCACTCTGCAAGTGAATGGGCATTTCTTGTGCACAGTTTGTGACAGTGTTTCTGTGACTTTTTTGAGAGGGATGCGGTATACCTCAGAGAGATGAGCCCAGAGGGATGATGCAGCATCTTGAACCCCTCACTGTACATTTCCACTGGGTTTTCCAGTCTTTGACAGTAGGAACCTCCTCAGGGGAGTTGAAAAAAAAGAAGAGAAAAGCAAACAGAACATGATGTCTTTTCTCTCCTTTTATGTAAGGCTGTCTTAATGCAAAACAGCTCCCCAGGCATTTTCTTCTCGCGTGCAAGGAGGCCAGTGGGAGAAACTACAGATGGGCTAGAAGCCGCTGTACACCTGGACACTCCCTGGTCCTAGGAAGACACTTCTAGGCCTCAACCACATCTTTGTATGGATCTGATGGAGAAGTTGCATGGGGGAAACTTTCTAGTTTAATTTAAGCTATAAAATGGTCTGGTGGCTTGAACCCTAAGTAGAGTAAATACAAAGATACTCCCTAAACAATAATCAGAACCCTTTCGTCTATGAAGATTTGGTACTACAAGAACCTGATTGTCCTAGGAGTCCTGACACATGAACTGAAGAGGCTTCGTTTGTGGCGTTGGCTCCCGTGCTAGGCAAATGACATGTGCACCATAAGGACAGATCATGGAAAGCTTTTATCCTCAACTTAGTAACAGGCATAAAGCCAACCTGTAATATCATTACCACTTGGCTGGTGACCAGTTAACAAAGATATTGCTCAGTCTTTTCTTCTGGCATGGCGGTCTACTAGGTGGAAAAACAGAAAATTTTTTCCACGAGAGAAAGTTGAAGTTTCATAAAATTTCTCACTCATCGAATTAAAATGTTCCTCTAGCAGCCCCTGGATGGTTCAGCTGGTTAAGCGTCTGCCTTCAGCTTAGGTCATGATCCCGGGTCCTGGGATGGAGTCCTACGTCGGGCTCCTTGCTCAGCGGGGGAGCCTGCTTCTCCCTCTGCCCCTAACCCCAACTTGTGCGCGCTCATGCTCTCTCTCTCAAATAAATAAATAAAATCTTTAAAAAAAAAAAAGGTGTTCCTCTAAATTTATTTTTAGGTTACCTTTTTTGGGAGGAGGGAAGCTGATAACCTAAATCCTAATACATTTTAGGATGTATTCGACTAAAATAGTTGAATTTCAGATTTTATGAGATAGTAAATCCATTTTTTATCTTGCAGCAGAATCTGACTTCACATAGATATTTTATATGCATTTCTGTAATGGCTTTTGGTGATCATTTTATACATTTTAATTGTTAAAACCTTTTTTTCTTAAATAAAATAAAATGTACAAAAGGAAAATATACTTAGCCAAAAATGAAAATTAAAAGTACTCATAATTCCTTTACCTAGAAATACCACTGTTAACATTTTTGTTGTATATCCTGCATCTTTTTCTTCTTGTTCATACATCACAATTTTTTTTTTTCAAGAGAGAGAGGGATGGGGAGGGACAGAGGGAGAGGGAGAGAGAATCTTAAGCAGGCTCCATGTGCAACGTGGAGCCTGGCGCAGGACTTGTTCTCAAGACCCTGAGATCATGACCACAGCTGAAATCAAGAGTCAGATACTAAACCAACTGAACCACCCAGGCGCCCCACCATTAAATTTTTTTTAAAGAAAAAGTAGATCATTTCATATGTGTTTATTTCTAATTTTTTCTATTTGTTAAGCATATTATGACATTTTCTCGTGTTACTAGATCTTCTAGAACATAATTTTATTGCCTACAAAGGATTCCATTGTGGTATCTTAGCATAGCAGTTTCATTACTTACTGTTTCCTTCGTTCCCTTTGCATTTACATGATATAGATCCCAGGCCCTTGTACAAATAAGCCTATTAGAATTTTTATTTTTAACACAGGCAGTCCAATATTAGAGCCAGAGCAATTACGCAAAGGAACACAATCAAAATGTTGGTTCATATTCATAGATGGATCACATCACTAAGGCTATTAGTTAACTACTCTCATTAATCTGAGTGACCCTGGATCACCTTATGTTAGAGTTGGAGGGAATTAGTGAACATTTGTGAAAAAGAAACATCTTTTAGAAATGACACCAATAGGAGGTTATATAAATAATTCTGCCTCCAAGGAATGCATAGTAGGAAGAGAAGATGGGTTGAAAATAAGTTCCTGGATGAGAAGTTCTCTTTACTTATGTAGCTTGAGTCATTTTGAGACTCTAAACAGTACTGTGAAGTGGAAGACACTCACATATTAAAAATAAAAGTCAGCATAAAACACAAATCCCCATGTGCCAAAGACGTTGTAAGTACATGATTGGCAACTATACACTTCATAGTTTGTTGAGGAATTATTGGAGTGAGACAGAGGGTGCTATAAAGAAAACTTTGTTAGCAGGAGCCAAGAACAAACTTGTCAAGAGGTAGAGTGTGGGGAAGGTTTAAATCAGAGAATGTTGGAGAACTAAAGGTCAACCCACTTGTTCAATGAACTGATGAGGAGCCTTCTGGCAAGTCCAAGAAGTGGTGGGACTGGGCAGCAGAGAAGACAGATGCTACACAAGCAAGTCCTGTAGGGGGACAACAGTGCCTAAAGGAAAGCAGAGAGAAGGAGGGAAAGAATGAGAGCAAGAATCAAAGAGAGGAAGACTCAAAATAGTGGCCCCCTGGCCAAAAAAGGCACTAAGGAGGGGCTGGAAACTGACTAGGACTAGCTGAGAGGCTGTCTCCAGAGGCAGAAGAAGACAGCTGCCATAGCATGTTCTTCCCCAAGACTAAGGGAGAGAGACAACTTCTAAAACACAAGGATACTGTTTTCAAGGTACTGATGTACTGATTTATTTTCAATTTTTTTTTTATTTATTTATTTGCGAGAGAGAGAATGAGAGACAGAGAGCATGAGAGGGAGGAGGGTCAGAGGGAGAAGCAGACTCCCTGCCGAGCAGGGAGCC